TAGAGTTCGTATATTAGTTTCACCAACAGAAGAAGCTAAATTTAGAAATGCCATTCGACTATTTACAATTTGGGACAACGTTGACCAATATAACATTAATAAACTAAAACAGCTTAACTTCCCTATTGCAAAGATAAAAGCCGTGCATAGTGGTGCTGGCGCTAGAAATGCACAATCTGAAATAACAAATAATCTTGATCCTGTTTTATTTTTATCTATTGGTGCTCACATAATGCTTATTTCTAATCTCTGGACTAATCAAGGGTTAGTTAATGGAGCAATGGGCACGATTGTTGATATTATATATGAAGTAGGAAGAACGCCACCTTCACTACCTACAGTTATTCTGGTTAAAATGGACAACTATGCGGGTCCAACAATATCTATATCAAATCATCAAGTAGTGCCGATTAAACCCATTAAATGCACCTGGGAAGGAAAGTCAGGAACTTGCTCCCGCATTCAATTTCCTTTGTGCCTTGCTTGGGCAATTACAATACACAAGTCACAAGATTTAACATTACCACAAGCTGTAATAAACCTTGGAAATAGGGAGTTTGCACTCGGCCTTACATTTGTAGGTGTATCAAGAGTTCGCACTCTTGATGATCTTCTTTTTGATAGTGCATTCACCTTTGAAAGATTACAAAAATTAGGACAACATGCACGTTTACAGCAAAGATTAATAGAAGAACAAAGATTGCTTTCTTTATAAATTATTATAAATTAAGAATTTACTAAAATTATGAAATTATTATAAATGTAATTTTACAAATAATAACCATTTATAAAACTTTAAATACTATTTTTTATAAATAATAAATTGTATATCATAAAGTATAAGGCCTAAGAATTAAGGCTCCAGCCTTAAAACGACGCCGTTTTTCTAGTCACTAGAGTTTACAAATAATTATATATTTTTTATAATATATACTAAGCTACAAAGTGTATGGGCATTCATGGACATTCATGGACGTGGACATGGACAGACAAAAAAAAACTACGGACATGGTAACGTAACAACACTGATTGTATGGGCTTTGACGTAACAACCCGTGCGACACCTTAAATACGAGCATTGCTTAATATGATTTAAATTATTAATTTTTTTATTTTTACAAAATAACAAACAATTGAATCAAAGACCTAAAACGTCAAGATCTCATTTAATTAAAAAAGCGAGGAGCTAAACTAATCATGCATGATCCTAATTTACGTATAACTTTATTTAAAAGTTTTAAAGAATGCGAAAATTTAATAAAGTCAATCTCGTTCTGTAAAAATTTTATAAAGAATGTGAAAAAAAATAACATACGACTCAATCTTATAAGAATTCTGCCCAATAAGAAAATTAAAGTGAAATCTAAAAATGTGAGAGCTTGTCGAATAAAAATTTTAAAGAAAGCGGAGATCAAATTATGTAAAGAAAGCGGAGACATGACTTGTTTATAAGAATTTAAAGAAAGCAAAGACCTAATCCACCCAAGACAGTTTTTAAAAAAAGCGAAAACAAACTAATTGTCAATTTAAAAAGTAAAGATCTAATGTTGTGACTGTCCAACATTTTTAAAAACGTGAAGACGAACTACGTTAATAAAAATAATTCATCTAAATCAGATCACTTTCATATTTGATGAATATGCACGTGTTCCGATTTAATTATTTTTTTTTAAACACCTACCATAAATATAATACGCATTGTTACTTCTGACCTGTACAGTACAATAAATTGTGTATCTTCGTAACACTTAGAAATAGAATCATGATTCTTACTGACATATGATCGTACGTACAATTTCTCATATCAGATATATAACGATATAAGCCTTGTGCAACTTTAAAAAATGATAAAATTGTCAACATTGGTAGTTTGTTTGCGAATTCAATGAGATCATACACTTCCTTCTCTTTTACATAAAATGTAATGTTACGGACTGGTCTGTGATAGAACCTACGGTGGAATTTATATGTGAAGATGAACAGTGGTTAACACTATTGAAGTATAAATGTCATTCAATCGAGTACCATAAAACCTACTTGATTTGTTTCGATAAAACATAAAGTAAGAGAGGGTATTATGACACGCCTACGATATCTCAAGATCTGGTGATCAGAATCGAATGATTTACACCATTCAATTCTTGAATGTGATCACTGGAACTCGAAATATCGCAGTTGCGTCATAATATTCCTCTTAGCTCTGTATAGCATTCGAACGCCATATGGGAATGGATTAGAAAAACCCTTACTTGAAAGCGATTGTCAGATGGTGGTTTTCCTAGTCTATTCCCCACATCTCAACCTTGTAATTAAAATCGAACGACTCTAGCGTCTCCCATAAAAATGGTAACCCGGATTATATTATCGGCAAATTGTTATCGTTATGATAATGTAGGTTATTAAATTTTAATTCACATATATATAGATATATATATATTATTTTTTTATTGGTTTGTAACTTTTATTTGAATTATACACGCAGATATACAGTCAATACCATAACGAACCTCTACAACGAACCCTCGATATAACAAACTAAAAATATTTAAATTTTACATTAGTTCTGTTTAAGAAGAGTCGTGGTTTCTTAAGAAAATATGGTAAGTTTGTATAGCGAACTTCTTGTTTTTTTTTTATATCCAGAACAATTAGTTTGTGTTGACTATGTATATAAGACAAAAAAAACAATGATATATTTATATTTTTTTTATGTCGACCAATAAAAATGCAAAAGATATATTTACTTGAACCTATGAAAAACATTTACTATAATGAACAAACTAAAGATTTTAGTAGATTTGAATTACTAAAGGTGTTAACGACACTAAAATAAATCGTTGCTTGAGCGTACATTTTTCAACGGCAAGTACCTTTTTGCTTCTAAAAGTTCTTTTTAAGACATCGTGATCACTTTTCCAATAGTTTTTTTTTCATTCAAAAAGTTATCATAGTTTTGAATCGAATGACACCTTTTACAGACTTCAGCTAGTTTCTTCGACACGGTTAGAAAATTTTTTTTATCTAAATTTGAAGAAAATTGCTATCGCTATGAAAACAGTGGTAGTAACGGTAAGAAAAAAATAGGTTTACTTGTCGCTATGGTAATGATTTATAATTTGTAATCAAAGTTGCCTGCAAACCTGATCCGAAATCCCAAGTAACCGGTGGATCTGTCAGACGACCATTTCTTATAGGCGACGCTAGAATCATTATTGGGAGTCGAACGACCTTGGTTCGCCTTGATAGACGAATAGAATAATATATGAATCATTCGATCTGGTGCGCTAAAACTTTTTCGTATTTTATTACAATTAAAGTTATCGGCTTACGATAATGTGATTTTCAAATATAGACTTTTGGCACATATTTTTTAATTATGACGATATTTATGATGTCAACCTTGGGTAATTTCTAATGAGAATATTTTTTTACTGATAGTTTTCATAAGATATATAAATTGTAAATTAGAATTACTCGGAAAAAAGATAATACTTCTTTCCAATTCACAAAACAAACAAACCTAAAAAAAAATGCCTTCGAATCATGGTGTCATCTTTAAAGCAGTTCCTGACGGTTATCCAGTTTTAGGAGAGCATATGGAACTTGTCACAAGAGAAATTGATATTGAAAACTTTTCACTTGGAGACGGAGACATTCTTGTTAAAAATCAATATTTATCGTTGGATCCATACATGCGTGGTAGAATGAGAAATCCTAATATAAAATCTTATGTAAAAGCATTCGAGCTTGGTAAAGTTTTAGAAGGAAGTGGTATTGGTACTATTGTTAAATCTAATAATAAGAAATATCAAGTTGGTGACCATTATATTGGAATGATCGGTAATATGATTCTATTATTATTATTATTATTGTTGTTGTTATTAAAATTTTATTACCATGGAAATTGTTAATAAGGCTGGGAAGAATATACACATATCCCCGGAAATGCTGTATCAGGCAATGAACATCTGGCGAAAGAAATGTCAAAATTCAATTTTCCTAAAAGTTATTTTCTTGGAGTGCTTGGTATGCCCGGAATGACTGCTTATGTTGGTCTCAATAAAATTGGCAAACCGAAAAAAGGTGAAACTATTTTTATTTCGGTAAGTTCAAAAAAAAAAAATATTGTCAATTTTTGTTAATATTATAATTGTTCTTATATATAATATATTCAAAAAAAATTTTACTATGATAACTAGGCCGCATCAGGTGCGGTTGGTCAAGTTGTGGGACAAATAGCAAAAATTAAAGGATTACGTGTAATTGGTACTGCCAGTAATGATTCCAAAATTAAATATCTTGAAGAATTGAATTTTGATGGTGTATTTAACTATAAAACTTGTAATATTGATGAGGTAATTGGTAATATGTTGATATTTGATTATGTATTATTTTTTTAGTGCTAATGTCTAATTTTTTATCAATAGAAATTGACAGAATTATGTCCAAATGGAATTGACATTTATTTTGATAATGTTGGGTAAGTTTAGCTTTCCTTTTATGATTATTCATGAATCCGAAACTAATTATTATATTTTAAAAATAGTGGTGAAATGCTTGATATAGTTCTTACTCATCTTAACATCAACGCCCGTGTTGTTGCATGCGGAATGATCTCTCAATATAATACCAAGGCTCCTTATGGTGTTAAAAACTTGTTGTGCGTTGTTTCAAAACGTATTACAATTCAAGGCTTTATCGTATTTGATCATTACCATGAAACCGAGTCTTTCCGAAAAGATATTGATGAATGGTTAAAACAAGGTAAATTGAAGTATAAGGAAGATAATGTTGAAGGAATCCAAAATGCGCCAGAGGCATTTTTAAATTTATTAACTGGTAAAAATTTTGGAAAGGAGATCGTTAAAATTTGTTAAACTGACATTTAATACTGGATGAAAAATTTTGCTGTGTAACTATGTTATTACACGTGGCTTTTTATTTATGAGAAAAAATGCCTGCTTATGTTTAAATTTATATATGCTAAATGTCGGAATAAAAGGAGTGTGATTTCGCTGTTAAATATTAGTTAAAAGTAGAATAAAATCACAAATATTCATTGAAATTCTTATAAATAATGATAAGTTCACCCCGCTAAAGTAAAATACTTCAGGAGGTCTGAATATTCAGCTAATTCGTAACGATCGTATTGTCGCACCTTCCTAAATGCATCCCCAGAACAATAGTAAATTTTACATTTATTTATAAAGAGCAATATATAGCTCTTAGAAATTGGGATCAGACTGAACCGTGCATTTAAAGAAGGTTTATATAGTGCTTGCATTTAAGGAGTATATATTTAAAGAAATGCGACTGTATTTGTTTACATTAAACCCAATTTTTATAATATATGGTGACTTTGGAAGCACATATAACGGCGAACAGGCAAACAATCAAATAAATTGCTTTTACATATTTATGATTTAACTCCTAACTCCTAACCATTTTTCCATAATATTAAAGGTATTAAGTCAAAGGAATTAAGAATCTAATTTCTGGGTTTCTTTTCTACATTAGTTCCAAGCCATCATTGATTTTAATACGCGTAAAATAGCATGAATAGTTATTATTTTTGTCGAAGAGATATTTTTATAATATCGAGGAAACGTAATTCTTGATCCTTCCTGTTGATTTATTACACCAAAAACCTGCCTTTTTTCCGGTTGCTAAACTAATTTGTCTAATTGTGGCTAACGCCAATATACATCTTTAACATTCTTTTAGTGTAAAATTTCCTGTAACAGCTAGATAAATCATTTGAAGAATGATTTTACACGTTGCTGATTATAATGTTATTTTCATTATTATGTTTACTACAGGAAAAATAGTTAATGAAAGTGCTTTTTATATATATCAACTCTACCTAGAAGTTTCAGATTTCGCTATTTCGACTAGATTGGTTGTGTGATGACACGGCTCATTATTTTCGTTATTTTAAAATATTGAATCTCAGATATTGTATTACGAAAAATTAATATAATGCAGTTTATTATTCTATTAACTGTTAATTGTTATGAAATACTGAATATAAACTGCTGATCAGTGGTTCCCCATGATTTATATCCAATGTCGATTTAGGGATATAAAAATTTTTGACTTTGACAATAATTTATATCGTAACCAAAGCACATAAAGGGTATGACACTTCTAAATGTCGCATTACATAAGTAACACCAAGATGATATATTGCATAAGGGCGGATTTACACGCAAATTTTGGGGTATTGACCAACTAGTTGGGGTGGAACATTCAATAGACTTTAATAAACTCATTACATTACATACGTACGTACATATCAGTTGATCGAGATGATTAAATTTTTACTATGAAATTTGTTTATTACCGGTATTTTTTCCAAGTCCCAGTAATCAGTTAAAGGGTGGGGTAATCAGTTAGACGCAGCTTTCATTAATGATTTTTTTATTTTGAGGGTGCTTTGTAGGACGTACAGATCATTTGACCATTCGCATTATTAAGATTCAGGGGTCATTACCGTTAAATTAACTATCGTTTATTATTTTTAGGGATACAAAAAAAGCCCAATTAATTAAATCCGCCCAAATGGTTAACTTGATGGCGCCGCATAACTATACCTAACTTAGATTCGGGAACTGAGATGAATTTTAATTGCAGTCTAACCTTTATAGGTATAATATTGTAATACTATAGTATAAATTCTTTATAATTTTTTTGCCCTTTTTAGTACAAATTATTAAATATTTTTAAAAAATACATAAATAATATTACTGTTTAAAAATTTTTATAGTCATATTTAACTCAAAGAACAAATTTTATTTACAGCAAAGTTGTTTTTGTTGTTACTACCTAACAGCAATCGTATTTTATTTCACCAAAATGAGCATAATCAAGTAATTAGTAAACAACATAATCGAGAAAAACAATAGTAAAAGTAGTGAAACTATATTTAATCTCAGTAGGTTTTGTAATAAATAGAGCCTTAGGTACGATTAATAGCACCCAATAGCGGTGAAATTACTTCCCCACTCTTGTTTAATTTATCAGCATCTTTTGCAATAAATATTCCTCCATCTAATTCCATTTAGATAATAATGGTTCACGGTTTATTCCTCATAAATTATATTTTTTTATATAATAATTGAATACTAATGTTGATGGTTTTCAACTTCAATCCTTTTTACGTAACAATATTTATTTCATTAGTATTTTCATATCTGCGGATTTTTGATAACATATAAATGCTTTATATTCGTCCTTCTTAACTCCAACTCCATGCAGATAACAATAACCAACTTGATGTATTGCATTAACATTTCCCATATTGGCTGATTTTTGATAATTAACAAATGCATTATGTTCATCCTTTCCAACCCCTATTCCATTGCGATAACAATATCCAAGGTTATATATTGCGGAGGCATTTCCCATCTCTGCAGATTTTTGATAATGAATAAATGCTTTATGTTCATCCTTTTCAACCCCTATTCCATATTGATAACAATATCCGGCACTATTTATTGCACTTGCATTTCCCATCTCTGCAGATTTTTGATAATGAATAAATGCTTTATGTTCATCCTTTTCAACCCCTATTCCTTGTTCATAACAATTTCCAACTTGACTTATGGCATCAGCATCACCCATCTCTGCAGATCTTTGATAATGAATAAACGCTTTATATTCATCCTTTTCAACCCCTATTCCATCTTGGTAACAATATCCAAGGTTATATATTGCGGAGGAATTTCCCATCTCTGCAGATTTTTGATAATGAATAAATGCTTTATGTTCATCCTTTTCAACCCCTATTCCACTTTGATAACAATGTCCAAGGTTATATATTGCGGAGGCATCACCCATCTCAGCAGATTTTTGATAATGAATAAATGCTTTATGTTCATCCTTTTCAACCCCTATTCCATGTTGATAATTATATCCAAGTGTATTTATTGCATTAGAGTCATCTTTCTTAGATGATTTTGTACGGCTAAATATACTATTAAAAATACGTTTCATTTTTTGCACTTTAAAGAAATGAGTTGTCGTTATCAGTACAAAAAGTCTGAAACAGTTTAAATTATCGTTATTGCTAATTTATTAGAACTGTATTACGTATGCTCATGCATAAAACGCTGTGTAAAAATCCGTATTTCAAAAATGTATTACAAGAAATAGTCTATATTACTGTTGTGTTGTACAAATTACAATCTGGCAAATTTTATGTTATTGCATGGGTTTGACGTAACAACCCTTTCACCTCAATAAAAGGCAATTTTAATATGAAAAATTACGTAAATACATGCATTGCATAATTGTATATATGTTTTTTTAATTCTGAAACCCATTAGATTTTTGCTTGAATTTGATTATTTTATAATTATGAAAAAAATTTAATAATGTATTTCGGAAATAAATGGGAGATATCATTTAACGAATAAATAACCTTTTCAACAACGAAAATCAACATTTCAAATTTATCAGAAAATGAAATAAAGTTTATATACATCACTCATTTAAAATACGTTATCTATTTCTGTCCTAGATTCCCGCACGTTAATTCTGAAACCCCCCTAATAACATCATTCAATACGAGTTTTTTTTAAAAAAAGTAAAGAACTAAACCTAATGCAAAATAATTATGTATAATTTTTCAAAGTTAAGAAAAAGTAGCGCATTTTAAAATAAATAGGAGTTTGAAAAGTCTTACTTGCATTTCAAAATTTTAAAATCGGAAATGAAATGGGAGTGTTTAGAGACTCCTTTTAACGGAATAAAATCATTATTTCAAACTTATAGGAAAATTAAATAAAGTTAATACATCGCTCGTTTGAAATAAATGCGTTATTTATTTCTGTCAAATTAGATCCCCGCACGTTAACTTTGAAACCTCTAATGTCATAAATCGTAAGAATATAAAAAAGCTATTAAAACTTAATGTATTCAAAATTTATTACAGTGCTGTTCTAAATTAAATACAATCACTTTATTTAGTATCAAAAAATATGCACCCTCATACTTTATATTGGTTTTGCTCTGCTTTTGAATCTATAGATAGAATGCGCAAACTTGTATGATTTCAGGGATTTATCATTATTATTGTTCAAACAATGAAAAATCACCTCTCATCTATAGAATTAACATAATGAATGATATTTTCTTATATAGTTTTTGCATCTTATATTTATTTATATAATTATATCCATTTATAAAATTTATCCGTACTTAAAAGTATCCGAAATTAAACTAATGCTCTAACAAAAGGGCAATTAGTTTGTTCCAAATTTCAATATCAGATATCTTGGTATAGTCAATGACGAAAACAAATATAGCACACATTTCAATACGACTACTAATTTTTTCCACTAATAAACTATGATGGAATATATAGCAACTCATAAAAGTATTAAAACCTTTGTTCATGATGAATTTCAAATTTAATTAAAGGTCTAAATCCAATATTACTATACGCACAAATATTACACAAACCTGCAAGGGTCATTGACATTGTATGACCTCTATAGAGATTTCAATATATATCATTCCATTCCTGAGGAGAGCCAGACATGTTTCTTATTTTTTCTTCTTCAGTTAGCTCGTTTTCTGCAGCTATAACCAATCGAAAATAGTATAAGTTAATTGGCATTATAAAGCAATTGTAGTACTGATAATGATGCTAAATTTTTGATCCTACTATATTTGAATATATTAAGGTTACTAAAGCCTACTTTTATTTATATATCTAACCAAATCATATTCTAAAATTTTTAAATTTAATTTAAATAGGCTCATTTCTCAGCATTAGCCAATCTCATTATCAGCAAATCCCTGGAATAAGTCATGACGAAAATAAATTTAGCTACTGTACTCACATTTTAACAGAGATAATAATACTTTTTCATCAATAAATGGAAGCCTATAATTTTTTTTCGTAGTTTCAGGATAAAAGTTTTTAATGCTGGGATCATTCATAAGGTCCTAAATAGAATAATGTGTTATAGTTTACAGTAACTTAAGATAATCTTAATTAAATGAATTTATATACCTGATATGCTTTCGGTAAAAGACTTTTACTTGTAGGAGGTAAAACAAACATTAAATGTTCGAAAGGTTTATAATAGTCTTCCACATCAAAATTTATTTCACTCATTTTCAAATCTTGCAAATCTAAAATAAAAGATTTAATAGGTTATACACATGTAGATGTCATTTTATTATTTAGCAAGAATTTACCTGATATCAATGGCGAACAATGTCCAGGATAAAACCATCTACAAGATTTTAATGCACCATTATAATAGGAAGTTATCCATTGTAACCCTTCAATATATGATTGAATTAAACTTTCTCGATCATGATTCTGATAATAATTACTTTTCCATTTCTGAAATTCAGTTTCATTCTTTTTTGTTACTTTAGTAGATTTTTCTTGAATTTTTTTATATAATTCAAAATAATTTCCATTATGTTCATATTTTTCAATAATGCTTAATTTCGCAAAAATCTTTTCAAGAACTTTTATATTCAATATTCCCTCATTATTAATGTAACTATCTGTAGACAAATATATATATTTAAAATTTAGTTAAAACATTTAATTAAAAAAAATTCAATTAAAAAGTTTAATTAAAAATTTTAATTAAAAATTTAAACCTTTCTAAATAAATTCTTACCACAATCTTTTAACACTTCTTTATAAATACGAATGGCCAGATCAAGCCCTTTATATTTAATATTAAAATTGTGCAATCCCGTTATGAAATCATTACCAACAAAAAATGTCAATAATACAAAATCTTTTATTATGCTTCCAATATTAAATTTAAAAGGTGGTCGAGGATTAACATCCCAAAGTTTCTTAAATTCTTTTTCCAACTCTTCACGTAAAATTGGCAATGCTTTTATTTCAAACTCTTTTGGTTTTGACGTGATTCTAAAAAAAAATCTTGGTGAAAATTATATCGAGATGTATAAAATAGCATAGTGTAAATTTATTACAAACAAACTTACTTGTCAGTACAAATTACTTTAATATTTTTTTTATATTGTAAAAGTCCCAATAAAATTATATCTGAATCCTTTCCGAATATCAAATGCTTTAAACTATCTAATTCAGAATGACGAATAAACTCTAATATTTTATACTCTCCTTCACCTGGCACGTCATGACCAGAGAATATAATTTTTTTGGTTCCCCAATCACCATCAGTCTGAACTTTATTAGAAATAAATTCTTTAATATGCTCTGAAAGATCTTTCATAAATTTCGTTCCTAATAGTTTGCAATATAGAATAATCCGATTAAACATTAAAATTATAAAATTACTTGTACTGATGTATATACCTGGAGTCACAGAGCTTCTATCAAATTTATCATTTGCATTAGCATTTTCGAATCGCCTTTTACGTTGCTCATTCATCTTTGCTCTTGGAGCAACACCTATTTTTTGTGGAGGGACAGGGAATCAAGATATTTTTATATTTTAAATTTTAATATAATTCAATAGAAATATTAAATCAAATAAATACCATCTATTGCAATAAAAATTAATTTCTTGGGGTCGATCATAAAAATTAAATCATCTATATAACCACATATGGCTTTAAAAATAATATCATTATCTGTGCCATTATATGTGCTCAGGTTTTCATTAATAATTCCATGAATAATTCCGTTCATATCGATATAAAAATTATCTGGATTCTCTTTGATGCTTTTTTATAATATAAATGTAGTGTTAAGCATTTTTATATATAAAAGTTATTTCAAATTCAATTAAACTTTTATCAAATCCATATAAATTACCATCCTTTTTTGATACGTTCTAAGAACTTGTGTCGATCTCTAATAATAAAATATGCAACTTTGTCAAAATTTTTATACGTTATATAGAGATAACCGAAAATAACATTAAACTTGGCATACTTTATCCATGTTTCGAAACCTTGAATTCCCATTATTCAATAAAAAATTTGCGTAAAAATTCCAAATAACGAAAGAATAATTTCTTTCCTAAAAAAAGATCACAGATCTACATAGATTAGCCAGTAAAATATCATGCAAAGTTTTAGCCATAATTCAAATTATGCGTGATACCGATACAGTATACGAAATTACTAATTTTATATAAATGTCATCAACTAATGGCACCTGCAGAAAAGAGCTTACCAGAAGTTGAAAGTATTACCAAAGTCAAGAGTGTTACCGAAAGTTAAAAGTGTTACCGAAGTCAAAAGTGTTACCGAATGTCAAAAGTGTTACCGAATGTCAAAAGTTCTACTGAAAGAAAAAGTATTACGCATGCACTAACTAAATTCAAAATTTGCCAGTAATCTCGTAACGGTACGTAACAATAATCACCACCAGGTTTATAAAGTGCTATATATCGATATCTTATCAAGGATCTATTAATATTTTAACGTTTTTTTGTAGTATTTTTGACCTTTTGTAACACATTCAACTTTATTTCAATTTTCGTTAAGACTTTTGACTTTCAGAAAGAACCTTTATTACACACAGCAATTACAACTTTATTACCTAAAATTAAGCTGGACTTGGACTTGATATTTTCAAATGGCGGTGTAGAATATTATCTTCAAAAATAGGTATACAGACATTTATATCAAACAAACTAACAACATAAACATATTGAAGATATTGATATACTATCTATATT